GCAGGCCAGACTTCCGAAGGTGGTGCTCAATGTCTCAGAAGGTTCATAGCAGCATATTCACAATAGCTAAATGGCAGGAACAGCCCAAATGTCCATCAGTGAATGAGTAGATAAACAAAATATGAAAGATCCATACAACAGAATGTTATTCAGCCTTAAAAAGGAATGAAATAGGCCAGTCACGGTGGCTCACATCTGTAATCCTAGCACTTTGGGAGCCCAAGGTAGCAGATCATCTGAGGTCAGGAGTTCAAGACCAGCCTGGCCAACATGGTGAACCCTGTCTCTACTAAAAATATAAAAAATTAGCCAGGCATGGTGGTGGGTGCCCATAATCCCAGCTAGTCAGGAGGCTGAGGCAGGAGAATTGCTTGAACCCAGGAGGTGGAGGTTGCAGTGAGCTGAGATTGCACCACTGCACTCCAGCCTGGGCAACAAGAGCGAAACTCCATCTCAGAAAAAAGGAATGAAATGGCCGGGTGAGGTGGCTCATGCCTATGATCCCAGCACTTTGGGAGGCTGAGGTAGGAAGACCGCTAGAATCTAGAAGTTCAAGACTAGCTTGGGCAACAAAGTGAGACCCCCAGCTCTACAAAAAACTTAAAAAGTAGCCAGGTGAGGTGGCACATGCTTGTAGTCCCAGCTACTGGGAAGGCTGAGGTGGGAGGATTGCTTGAGCCCAGGAGGTTGAGACTGCAGTGAACCATGATCTTGCCACTGCACTCGAGAGCCTAGGTGACAGAGCAAAATTTCTGGGGAGAGTGAAATTATGATATCCGGTAAGTATATAAATAAACCTTGAAGACATTATGCTTAGTGAAATAAGCCAGACACAAAGGGACAAATACTGTATAATTCCACTTATATGAGGTACCTAACATAGTCAAATTCAGAGACAAGAGGTGGAATAGTGGTGGCCAGGGACTGGTGGCAGGGGTTGGGGAGGGTGGAATGAGGAGTTAATGTTTAATGGGTAAAGAGTTTCACTGTGCGATGATGCAAAAGCTCTGGACCAGGCACGGTGGCTCACGCCTGTAATTCCAGCACTTTGGGAGGCTGAGGTGGGCAGATCACGAGTCAGGAGTTCAAGGCCAGCCTGGCCAACACGGTGAAACCCTGTCTCTACTAAAAATATAAAATTTAGCTGGGTGTGGTGGCTCCTGACTGTAATCTCTGCTATTCAAGAGGCTGAGGCAGGAGAATTGCTGGAACCTGGGAGGTGGAGGTTGCAGTGAGCTGAGATTGCACCACTGCACTCCAGCCTGGGCAACAGAGCAAGACCCTGTCTCAAAAAAAAAAAAAGAAAAAAGAAAAAAGAAAAAGAAAAAGAAAGAAAGAAAAAAGAAAAGAAAAGAAAATTAGAGGAGTGGTGGCTCACGCCTGTAATCCCAGCACTTTAGGAGGCCAAGGCAGGTAGATCACAAGGTTAGGAGTTTGAGACCAGCCTGACAAAGAGGGTGAAATCCCATTTCTACTAAAAATACAAAGATTAGCCATGCGTGGTGGGCACCTGTAATCCCAGCTACTGGGGAGGCTGAGGCAGGGAATTGCTTGAACCCAGGAGGCAGATGTTGCAGTGAGCTGAGATTGAGCCACTGCACTCCAGGCTGGGTGACAGAGGGAGACTCTGTCTCAAAGAAAAGAAAAAAAAATAGCCAGGTGTGGTGGTGCATGCCTGTGGTCCCAGGTACTCGGGAGGCTAAGCGGAGAGGACTGCCTAAGCCTGGGAGGTCGAGGCCGCAGTGAGCTATGATCGCACCACTGCACTCCAGCCTGGGTAACACAGTGAGACCCTGTCTTAAAAAACAAACAAGTACTATGCATAAAACCACAAGGCTCAAGAAACAACAGTCTGAAGTAGTTAGATGTGTGTGTTTTAATTCTTTTCATGTCTTGTCTTCTCAGTTGTTTTTTTTTTTTTAAGAGATGAGGTCTTGCTCTGTTGCTCAAGCTGGTATCGAACTCCTCCTGGGCTCAAGCAATCTTCTGCCTAGGCCTCCCTAACAGCTGGGACTTCGGGCGTGCACCATTGCACCCAGGTACTGGGGTAGTTTTTGACTGATCTTTTTAAAAATCATGTTAATATCTTGGTAAAAAGTATATTTATATTGTTCTCTAACCTGCCTTTTTCATCTGTTTCATGGAAAAATTATCATCATATATTCTTCTGCTATATAACTTTAAATGACTACACTGCTTTCATTTATGACATCACAACTAAACTAGTTAAACCAAATTTATATTGCTAACTTGTCTAATTTTTTCTCTATTAAAATGATAAAAGCATTGTAGCCAAATATTTACACACATTCATGAAGGTTTACTTAAAAGAAATTGCTAGAAGTGCAACTGTGAGTCAAAAAGAATGCATGTAGCCGGGCGCGGTGGCTCAAGCCTGTAATCCCAGCACTTTGGGAGGCCGAGGCGGGTGGATCACGAGGTCGAGAGATCGAGACCATTCTGGTCAACATGGTGAAACCCCGTCTCTACTAAAAATACAAAAAATTAGCTGGGCATGGTGGCATGTGCCTGTAATCCCAGCTACTCAGGAGGCTGAGACAGGAGAATTGCCTGAACCCAGGAGGTGGAGGTTGCGGTGAGCCGAGATCGCGCCATTGCACTCCAGCCTGGGTAACAAGAGCGAAACTCCGTCTCAAAAAAAAAAAAAAAAAAAAAAAATAATAATAATAATAATAATAATGCATGTTTTAACTATTTTTGCCTGCAAAAAAAAAAAAAAAAAATGCCGGGCATGGTGGCTGATGCCTATAAATTCCCAGCACTTTGGGAGGCCAAAGTGGTGGATAACTTGAGGTCAGGAGTTTGAGACCAGCCTGGCCAACATGGCGAAACCCTATCTCTACTAAAAATACAAAAAATTAGCCAGGCGTGGTGGTGGGTGCCTGTAATCCCAGCTACTTGGGAGACTGAGGCAGGAGAATCGCTTGAACCTGGGAGACAAAGGTTGCAGTGAGCCAAGATCATGCCATTGCACTCCAGCCTCAGCGACAGCAAGAGACTACGTCTTTAAAAAAAAAGAAGAAGAAGAAGAAGGCGGGGTGCAGTGGCTCACACCTGTAATCCTAGCACTTTGGGAGGCCGAGGCAGGCATATCACGAGGTCAAGAGATCGAGACCATCCTGGCCAACATGGTGAAACCCCATCTCTACTAAAAATACAAAAGTTAGCTGGGCATGGTGATGCGTGCCTGTAATCCCAGCTACTCGGAAGGCTGAGGCAGGAGAATTGCTTGAACCTGGGAGGCAGAGGTTGCAGTGAGCTGAGATCCTGCCACTGCACTCCAGCCTGATGCCTGGTGACAGAGCGAGACTCTGTCTCAAAAAAAAAGAAAAAAAAAAAGGAAAAAAAAATGTTTGCTTCATTGCCATGAAAAGGTCATACAAGTTTTTATATCCACCACCACACGAGTTTCTTTTCCAAATCTTCAACATCCTGTGAGAGACAGCTGAAGCATAGTTGTTCAGAGCACAAGCTTGAGAATCAGATTTCAAAGGTATGAATCCTCTCCCTTTTCTTCCTTTTTAGCGGCAGGGTCTTGCTATGTTGTCCAGGCTGGTCTCAAACTCTTGGCCTTAAGCAACCCTGACATCTCAGCCTCCAAATACACTGGGATTACAGGTGTGAACCACCTTGCCCAATTTCCACTTTCTAGCTGTCTGATCTTCAGAAAATCAGTTAAATTCTCTGGGCCATAATTTACTAACAGGTTTCTTGTAAGTATTAACAATTAACTACTATTATTTACCTCCTTTAGTTCCTGAGACTCCTATGCACAAAATGTACTTGATGTGTGCCTCAGAACCTAATAACCAAAGGTAATTAGAACTACAGGTGGTTAGATGATTAACGACATGGGACATGAGACCATTTGGAACTAGGTAAAAAGGCTTACCTTGAGGACAGCCTTATTAGAAGCAGAGGCAAGTACAGGTTTTGTGAGCTTGAAGCTTATGCAAGTGTAGGTTTCTCTAATTATAAAGATAGGAAATTACAAAATCAGGTACAAAGGCTTGGGAGGGGCCTAAAGCTTAAGTCTGAGGAAAAAACCACCTCTGGTTGGAACCAATAGCTTATGAAAAGGTAGAAAAAAGCCTGGTACATGGGTGCTCCTTAAGTCCCAGCTATTTGAGAGGCTGAGGCAGGAAGATGGCTTGAGCCTAGGAGTTTGAGGCTTATAAGTGTGCAATGGTGGTAAACAGCTGCTGTACTCCAGGCTAGCAACATAGTGAGACCCTATCTTTTAGAAAAAAAAGAAGAAGAAAAAAAAAGGATGAGAGAGGTAACACTTGCCTGACTGGAACAAAAATGAGAAACCCATATAAGAAAATAACTATGGGCAGGTGAGGTGGCTCATACCTGTAATCCCAGGACTTTGAAAGGCCGAAGTGAGTGGATCACCTGAGGTCAGGAGTTCGAGACCAGCCTAGTCAACATAGTGAAACTCCGTCTCTACAAAAAATACAAAAATTAGCCGGGTGTGGTGGTGGGTGCCTGTAATCCTAGCTACTTGGGAGGCTGAGGAAGGAGAATCTCTCGAACCCTGGAGGCGGAGGTTTCAGTGAGCCCAGATTGCACGAGAAAGAAAGGAGGGGAGGGGAGGGGAGGAGAGGAGAGGGGGGAGAAAAAAGAAAAGAAAATAATAAGTACTACTTCATTTGGCTATCTTTACACCTGTAAGGAATGAAGCTCAGAGGTCACACAGCTAGTAAGAAGCCAGCACCCTTCGATGTGGGATTGATGTGGAGGATAGGCATATACAGAGAACGAACAAGCAAAACCCCATGGTGCAGATTTTGAAAGAAAAGCCCCATGATTAGTAATGAGTGTGAATTACTCAAGAAAGTGATCAAACCCAATTCCAATCCTGCATTCCTCTTCGCCATCAGGAGTCTGGCACCTGGAGACTGCTAGCTGCCAGGTTCTTTAAGAATCAGCCCCGGTCCAGCCCACTCCGCGGGCCAGTAAGCTTCTGAAAAGCAAAACTAGGAAGTTGCTTTCCAATAAAAAGTGGAGATTTCAAGACAGGAGGCTTTAAGCAAGTTCGAGTGTATCTGTATTTGGTCTTGCCGATTGGCTGGGCTCTCATCTTCCCAGCTGACATTAGCAGACTGCTGCTTTGCCCTGGTGGGCGCTCAGCCTGCGGCGGCACCCCTAGAAGATCGCTAACAAGCTTCTTTCCACCCACCCTGTTCGGTTGTTCCCAGGTCTGACTTCAAGGCGCAAAATGGCGGCCTCATCTCTTGCTGTCCTGCGAGCGTCAAGGCTGTCAATGGAGCCTGAAGAGTTGGGCGCAGTTGCTGGGGTATCCAAAGCAGAGGCAGGTTGACCAGATCATTTGAGTTCCTGCCCGGATGACCGTGACGCTGCTCCTGGAGCCCGCGGGCCGCAGCTGCTGGGACGAGCCGGTGCACATCGCCGTGCGCGGCCTGGCCCCCGAGCAGCCGGTCACGCTGCGCGCGTCCTTGCGCGACGAGAATGGCGCGCTCTTCCGGGCCCACGCGCGCTACCGCGCCGACGCCCGCGGGGAGCTGGACCTGGAGCGCGCGCCCGCGTTGGGCGGCAGCTTCGCGGGGTGCGAGCCCATGGGGCCGTTCTGGGCGCTGAAGCCCGAGAAAGCTTGGGGGCGGCTGGTGAAGCCCGAAGTGCGGACGCCCTTCCCCGTGGAGCTGGAGGTGCTGGACGACCCCGAGCCCGGGCGGCTGCTGTGCCAGGCGCGGCACGAGCACGACTTCCTCCAGCCGGGCGTGCAGCGCGAGCTGGTGCGTGCGGGCCGGGTACGCGCCGCGCTCTTCCTGCCGCCAGGTGAGCCACCTCTGCTAATTGTTCGCGTCTGCACATCCCGTGTCCCTGCGCTTTTCACACGGAGAAAGGATGTAGTTTCCAACATTCCGGAGGTTAGTAGTGTAAGGAGACAGGAGTGGAATGGAAAGCCGGCTGGGGAAGTGCCCCTGCTGCTCCAAAACTGAGAGATCCTTCAAACCTAGTGCTCAGTTAAAAGACATTGTAAGGAAAGGGAAAAGGCACATAATATAAAAAACAAACAAAAAACAGGCCTGGCGCAGTGGCTCACGCCCGTAATTCTAGCACTTTGGGAGACCGAGGCGGGCGGATCACCTGAGGTCAGGAGTTTGAGACCTACTCAGGAGGCTGAGGCAGGAGAATTGCTTGAACCTGGGAGGCACTCGTTGCAGTGAGCCGAGATTGCGCCATTGCACTCCAGCCTGGCCCATTTCAAAAAAAAAAGCCATTTGCAGGTAGTTTCAATTTTTAAAATGTTGTTTATTTATTGACCAGAAAGTCCATTTTTTTAAAAAAAATAAAATGTATTCCGACTGGTTTTCTCACCTTTTTTCATGGAGGTGCCAGGTGGCCAGGCCTGTGACAGCGTAGAGGTTACGGTGCCTGCCTGCCTACTGCAGGGCCTGTTCGTTCCCGGCTGGTGGTCGATGACTTCCCTCCAGTTGTCACTCCAGAAGAGCAGCTGCCTCCTTGTGTAAGGCAGGACCAGATGTTGATTGTCGCCTCTAATGGTGTATTTGTCATCACTGGACAGGTCCCCAAAGATCACGGTCTTGTCCGTTGTGAGGATAATTCAATCCACAAGCTGGGGCTCCAGGTGCTGCTCTAGCCAGCGGTGCTTCTCACCCACACGGTGGTCACACTTCCACAGGGGTTGGTGCAGTGTGAAGACCTGGGTGTTTTGCATGTGCTTCATCTCTCACAAGGCCCTCTGGGGTTGGGCTCCAAGCCTCGGGAAACGCTTAGAGCTTCACACCCATGGGCCACTTTATCCGCCACGTCCGGCAGCAGGGTGCGGTACTGCTCCCAGGCCGGAAGCTTCGGTGCTGCTACGGTGTCACACGAAGCTCCCTGAGAAGCAGCGGCTGAAGACCGGCAGGAGGCCCTCTGGAAGCCGCCAGCAACAGTCCCTGTCCTCCAGCACATGCATGGGCTGTGCTGCTATCGCCGCTGGGGCACTGGAGTCTCTAGGGATCTGAGGGATGTGGGGCCTCCCAATGTTCTTTTAGACGTTTCTCAGTTTTGCAACTTTTCTTGCAACTCCCACAGTCTAAGGCTTAAGTAAATTAGCATTTACAATAGGAGGAAGGCCTCTCGTTGTCAAATGGAAATTTGAAGTTACTGGATACTTTTATGTTACATAAAGAGCAATCAGGCCGGGCGCGGTGGCTCAAGCCTGTAATCCCAGCACTTTGGGAGGCCGAGGCGGGTGGATCACGAGGTCAAGAGATCGAGACCATCCTGGTCAACATGGTGAAACCCCGTCTCTACTAAAAAATACAAAAAAAAAACTAGCTGGGCGTGGTGGTGCATGCCTGTAATCCCAGCTACTTAGGAGGCTGAGGCAGGAGAATTGCCTGAGCCCAGGAGGCGGAGGTTGTGGTGAGCCGAGATCGTGCCATTGCACTCCAGCCTGGGTAACAAGAGCGAAACTCCGTCTCAAAAAAAAAATAAATAAATAAATAAATAAAGAGCAATCAGGCCAAGCTTGATGGCTCATGACTGTAATCCCAACACTTTGGGAGGCTGTGTATCAGGTCTCTTTTTAAATGGTCTGGTTTTCATAGAGGTTGGCTCATTCATGACAGCCATTCCCTACCTCAGCACACCAACATACACTACCTTTTCTAGTCACTTCTTCTCATTTATTTATTTATTTTTTTTTTTGAGATGGAGTCTTGTTCTGTCAACCAGGCTGGAGTGCAGTGGTGCGATCTCAGCTCACTGCAACCTCTGCCCCTGGGTTCAAGCAATTCTCCTGCCTCAGCCTTCTGAGGAGCTGGGATTACAGGTGCCTGCCACCATGCCCAGCTAATTTTTTTGTATTTTTAGTAGAGACTGGGTTTCACCATGTTGGTCAGGCTAGTTTTGAACTCCTGATCTCATGATCTGTCCGCCTCGGCCTCCGAAAGTGCTGGGATTACAGGTGTGAGCCACCATACCTGGCTTCTAGTCTCTTCTTATAGACAGTTTCTTCCTTTCTTTTTTTTTGAGATGGAGTCTCACTCTGTTGCCAGGCTGGAGTACAGTGGTGCGATCTTGGCTTACTGCAACCTCTACCTTCCAAATTCAAGTGATTCTTGTGCCACCGTACCTTGGCTTGTTATTTTATTTTGTAATGAACCCAAACACTTTTGAGAACCCTGGGTTTGACCCAAGAAGTAAAGGGGAAGAGGTAGGGAATCACTTTCTTCAGAAGGTACCTGTTTTGGCTGGGTGCAGTGGTTAATACCTGTAATCCCAGCACTTTGGGAGGCCAAGGAGAGCTGATCTCTTGAGGTCAGGAGTTTGAGACCAGCCTGGCTAACATGGTGAAACCCCACCTCTACTAAAAATACAAAAATCAGCTGGGCTTGAACCCTGGAGGTGAGCTAAGATTGCACCACTGCACTCCAGCCTGGGCCACAGAGTGAGACTCCATCTTTAAAAAAAAAAAAAAAAGGTACCTGTTTAAGTGTCTGAGTTTAACTATCTTCTCTTCCCTGTATCCTCTCAGCACAGGATTAAGTTGTGGGGGGTTTGCTTTTAGAGTTAGGTTTTAAAGGAGGAATTTGGCAGCCAAAGAAACTGGATACTAGGAAATGTTTCAGGAGTTCCAGATTCAGCATATCAGAGGATCAGAAGATAAATCTTACTTATTCTATAATTCAGTTAGAGTTCAAGGTGGATGGAAGCACTGGAGCTCTTAGAAAAGGTGATAGGAGTCAGATGTGGTGGTGCGTGTCTATAGTCCCATCTTCTCAGGAGGCTGAGGCAGGAAGATCCCTTGAACCTAAGAGTTTGAGGCTATGGTGTGCTATGATTGCGGCTTGAATAGCCAATGCAATTCAGCCTGCACAACACAGCAAGACCCATCTCTCTCTCTCTCTTTTTTTTTTTTTTAATAGAGACAGGGTTTCACCATGTTGGCCAGGCTGGTCTCGAATTCCTTACTTCAGGTGATCCACCTGTGTCGGCCTCCCAAAGTGCTGGGATTATAGGCATGAGCCACCGCACCTGGCCAAGACCCATCTCTTAAAAAAAAAAAAAAAAAAAAAGAAAATAGCACTTGAACTTGGGAGGGGGAGTTTGCAGTGAGCTGAGATTGTACCATTGCACTCCAGCCTGGCAACAGCAAGACTCTGTCTCAAACAAACAAAAAAAAGAAAATAGAAAAAGGTGAAAGGGTATATTGTAGTGGAACCAGCATTAGATATACATAGAGAATAGTTAAATATGAGTTTTGATTTTGCCAATTACTGGCCTCATGATCTTGGGACCCTTGTTTCTTCTTTGAAAAACTGGGACGATGAACATATCGTTTAATTCCTAGTAGTTTTGTGAGGAATAAATGGTTGAAACTAGCCAAGGGTGCCGTTGCAGAAGCCACAAGAGAAAAAAATAAAAGATAAACTGCTGTTGAGAAGCTAATCAAATGGCCATTTATTTATGGCGTGTAGGACATTGGTAACCTTGTGGAACAGTGCAAACTCTAACTACCCCGGAGGGGATGGAGCAGAGAACGGAAGCCAAGAAAACAAGCAACTACAGACAACCTTTTCCACAGATTTTGCCGTGAAAGGGAGTAGAGAACTAGGGCTGTAACTAGAGTGGCTGGGCCAAGAAGTGTCCTCAGAACCGAAGAGATTCTAGAGGGTGGAAGTACACTGATGGGAATGAGCCTGTAGAGAAGATAGCTGTAAAGGAGGAGAGAGGGAAATAATTGCAGGAGCGAGGTCCTCAAGAATGAGAGCAGATGGGATTTGCAAGCACAAATAGAGGGGTGGCCTTTGTTAGGAACAGAAATGTGGGGCTCTTTTTCTTTGTAATTCAGTCTTGCGTTCTGTGCCAGGAGAATGTCGATAAACTCTAGCCCTGCCCTGTCGAGGCTCTAGATTTGGTCACGTTTACAGTGTACCTTTCATGGGATAATTCTTTTTCCTGGCAGATGGCTTAATCATTAAGATGTGCATCCGATCTATGACCAGGTGTCACTGTCATAAGGTACTTGTTTAAAGTGGCAGAACCCTTGTGATTCTTGTCTGACTTGACAAGTCACGAGCGTGTCTGCCACCACAAACAATTCCAGGTTCATCCTACAGAGACAGCCACTCTGTGGGAGTGCCGTGACCTGGAAAGGAGTTAGGTTTGGGGTCAGGTGAGACACAGAGGAGGTAGCGCAACAAAGCACATGAAATAAGCAGCATATTCCTCGCAGACCCCAGACCCAAGAGGGCAGTATGCCTTGCGGGGCCATTGGGAAGTAGAAAGCTGTCTGGGACATAGACGTTCAGCCAGTGAGAGGGAGAGAGAGAGACAGGACTTACGGGGCCAAATCCATTACTGAGGTCTGAGTGCTACCCAAGCAGGTTTCCCTCAGGGGTTTTGGATTGGCTGATTTATACACAAACCTATTTACAAGACTCTAGTATTGACCATTAGGTTTTTGTTTGTTTGTTTTTGTGTTTGTTTTGAGACATAGTCTCTCGCTCTGTTGCCCAGAGAGTGCAGTGGCACCATCTCTGCTCACTGGCAACCTCTGCCTCCTGGGTTCAGTTGATTCTTCTGCCTCAGCCTCCCAAGTAGCTGGGACTACATGCATGTGCCACTGCACCTGGCTAATTTTTGTACTTCTAGTGGAAACAGAGTTTCACTATGTTAGCCAGTTGGCCTTGAACTCCTGACCTCAAGTGATCCTCCTGCCTTGGCCTTCCAAAATCCTGGGATTACAGATGTGAGCCACCGTGCTCTGCCATGATTAGGTTTTAACATGGTCAGCAGTTACGACATGTGTTGGGTTTTGGGTCAGTGGGATGAGGAACAAACACAGAGGGGAAAGTTCATTTTTTGTTTTGTTATTTTTGGAGACAGAGTTTTGCTCTAGTTGCCCAGGCTGGAGTGCAATGGCAAGATCTCGGCTCACCGCAACCTCCACCTCCCAAGTTCAAGCAATTCTCCTGCCTCAACCTTCCAAGTAGCTGAAATTACAAGCACCTGCCACCATGCCTGGCTAATTTTTTGTATTTTTAGTAGGGATGGGGTTTCTCCATGTTGGTCAGGCTGGTCTCAAACTCCCGACCTCAGGTGATCCTTCCTCCTTGGCCTAGCCAAAGTGCTTGGATCAAACTCCTGAGTTTTAACTAGGCCAAAGATGACAGCAGTACCCTAGTTAAGGCCAAAGATGACAGGGTACACTGTGCCCAGCCTGAAAGTTTTAACTAGGCCATAGATGACACAGCACTGCTGGGTTTCAAATAGCTTATATCAGGTCTGAGAATGGATTCCTGGACAGCAGTTATATTAAACAAATTTATATCAGATACTTCGTTGGAAACAGGAGGGAAGGCAGAGTTTGAGTTCCCATGGAAGTAGGTAGATTTGGCAGTGAGAAAATGAGGAAAGGTTCCTACCAATAGCTTCCGTTTCTTCAATGAAGTGTGAGGAGCTAAAAGTGAAGGGAAAGGTGAGGGTTAAAAGGGCTTGAGGAGGTAGGAGAAGATATGAAGAGCTCTCCTGGAGAAGTGAACACAGCCATGAAATATGAGAGGATTGATGGGCAATGTGGATGCTCATTTAATTTGTGGTCATGAAATGAAACTAAGATCTGTCAGCATAAATGTGTATTGTTTCCTCTTCTCCAGCAGTGTTCATTTTGCACACATGTGAGCCTAGAGGAAATGAACAGGTGGATTTAACAGGGTTAGCACTTTCCAGGCCAGTGTGGCCAAAGGAAGAGGGAGGTTAGAGGAGGTAAGGGTGTTCGCAAAGGAGTGATGCTGCTGTTGAAACAGGAGATCGAGGCTAGAGGAGATGGGAAGTAAGAACATGAGAGAGAGACTGATAGTGACAAAGTGATAGTCAGGGTCTCACAGAGGTAGAAATGGGAGGTCTCTCAGAGGTAGAAATTTTACCAGGACGGTTAAATGGAAAGTACTGAAAATGGCACTCATAGAGTGGAATGCTCGAAACTGAGATTTTGGAGATAATGTACTTTTTTTTTTTCTTTTTTTTTGAGAAGGGTCTCATTCTGTCATCCAGACTGGAGTTAGTGGTGCGATCTCAACTCACTGCAACCTCCACCTCCCAGGCTTAAGCGATTCTCCTGCCTCAGCTTCCCAAGTAGCTGGGATTATAGGTGCATGCCACTACTGCCTGGCTAATTTTTGTATTTTTAGTAGAGACAGGGTTCCACCATGTCGGCCAGGCTGGTCTCAAATTCCTGACCTCAAATGATCCACCCAACTCTGCCTCCCAAAGTGTTGGCATTACAGGAGTGAGCCACCGCACCCGGCCATGAGATGATGTACTTATTGATGATGAATCAGTTTAGTTATGACAGTGGGAATGGGTAGCTCAGGTGGGAGAGAGAAAAAGATCATGGGAGATCCGAGGTTAAGGAACTGAGGAACCATAGTAGTTGACAGGTCATCCACATGGTTCTCACAAAGAGTGGTGATGGAGACATTGTGGAAAGGAAGAGATAGAGGGGAGGTAAATTCCCAAAGTTGCAAATCTGGGTGAATGGTAGAACCCAAATTCAGGCTCAGGTTCAACTGACTTCCAGGGTGGGCACAACTCACCGTATTCCAGTTTGTGGACTCATTCTTCTTCTTTTTCCTTTGTTCCTTTCTCAGGTAAAAGGTCCAGGAGTTGGGCTGCTTGGAATTTCCGAAGGGGGTGAACTCTGCCTTTCCATGGCCTCTTTCCTGAAGGGCATCACGGCTGCTGTCATCATCAACAGCTCTTTGGCCAGTGCTGGGGGAGGCATACACTATAGGGGTGAGATCCTGCCCCCTGTCGGTATCAACAAAAATAGCATCAAGGTGACCAAAGATGGCTTTGCAGACATTGTGGGTGTCCTGAACAGCCCTTTAGAAGGACCTGAACAGAAGAGCTTCATTCCTGTGGAAAGGGCAGAGAGCTCCTTCCTGTTCCTGGTAGATCAGGATGACCTCAACTGGAAGAGTGAGTTCTATGCTAATGAAGCCTGTAAATGCTTGCAGGCCCAGGGGAGGAGAAAGCCCCAGGTCATCTGTTACCCAGGGGCAGGGCACTATATCGAGCCTCCTTATTTCCCATTGCCAGGCTTCCATGCATGCCTTGGTGGGCGGTCCTGTTATCTGGGGAGGAGAGCCCAGGGTCACGCCATGGCTCCGTTGGATGCTTGGAAATGACGCCAGACTTTCTTCCACAAACACTTGGGTGGCAAAGAGGGGACAATCCCAGCCAAACTGTAATTTTTATTTGATCATGTGGCCTCTCTGTTGCTAATCTCTCCTGGGAACATCTGCCACATTTAGTGTATGTATGTATATTCATTCTTTGCTTTTTAATAACTAAAGTGTTTCCCTCTCATTATTAACATGAATTTTCCAGTAAGAATGAGTTTTTAAGATTTCTATAAACTGTACACTTTATCCGTTTGGGAGGGGAGTAACTCTGTAGAAACCACAAAAAGTGAAAAGTCTCCTTTTACTATCTCGACACACAACTGGTAAGGCTTTAGTTCTGAAAGGAAAGTGAGTAACATCAATTAACAGTGTCTGGTACATAAATGGAGTTCAATAATTATTTGCTGAATGAGTGTAAATGAACCAGGCATGGTGGCTGACACCTGTAATCTCAGCACTTTGGGAGGCCAAGGTGGGTGGATCACTTGAGGTCTGGAGTTGCAGACCAGCCTGGCCAACATGGTGAAACCCTGTCTCTACCAATAATACAAAAAATTAGCCAGGCGTGGTGTCATGCACCTGTAGTCCCAGCAATTCAGGAGGCTGAGGCAGGAGAATTGCTTGACCCCGGGAGGCGGAGGTTGCAGTGAGCCAAGATCATGCCACTGCACTCCAGCCTGGGCAACAGAGCAAGGCTTTGTCTCATAAATACATACATACATACATACATACATACATACATACATATATACATACATACTGTGGAAGAAAAGCATGTAATATAAAAGATATATCAGATTTGAATTTCTCCCTTAAGAATGGAAGAAACTGATTTCTGAAACTTGCCTATAAACTGATTACTAGTTAGATATAAAACTACCAAAAATTTTCAAAACAAATACATATTAGTTCTTTGATAGCTTCTCCTTAGATTAATAAGGATTTTCCTAGGGAAAATAAATTTTATGTTCCTGTTTATACATATGGACCTTTAGGATTTATCAGTTTTATCAATTTAAAAGCTGATAAAACACTATTTAGATGAATTACATAAGTGATTTTAACAATGACAAATAAAATAACATTGAAAATAAATAACAACTTAGGCTAGGCATGGTGGCTCACTCTTGTAAGGCCAGCACTTTGGGACGCCAAGGCTGGCGGATTGCTTGAGTTCAGGAGTTCAAGACAAGCCTGGGAAACATGGTAAAATCCCATCTCTAAAAAAAAAAAAAAAAAAAAATTACCTAGATATGGTGGTGCACACCTATAGTCCCAGCTACTTGAGAGGCCAAGGTGGGAGAATCACTTAAGCCTGGGGGCAGAGGTTGCAGTGAGCTGAGATCATGCCACTGCACTCCACCCTGGGCAACAGAGTAAGACACTGTCTCAAAAAAAAAAAAAAAAGAAAGAAAGAAAAAGAAAAAGAAAAGACAATATTTATGTCACTTGATATAAATAGTTCCACAATAAACTTGTTTTTTTCTTAAACCTTAGTTGTATTTAAAGGAAAAAATACCTTAATTTATGAATCTTTTCTTTTCTTTTTTTGGAGGCAGAGTCTCACTCTGTTGCCCAGGCTGGAGTACAGTGGCACAATCACGGCTCACTGCAGCCTTAACCTCCTATGTTGAAGCTATCCTCCCACCTCAGCCTCCCTAGCAGCTGAGACCACAGGCACACACCACCATGCCTGGCTAATTTTTAATTTTTTGTAGAGATGGGGTCTCCCAATGTTGCCCAGGCTAGTCTTGAATTACTGAGCTTAAACAATCCTGCTGCCTCAGCCTCCCAAAGTGCTGAAATTACAGGTGTGAACCAACACTACCAGCTTCCAGCACCGTTTTTCTAAAGGAATTCATGATCTGATAGCAGTAGAATGTAACCAGATCTTCAGTACTGAGATGATTTCCTGAGGTGAAGCTACCTCCTGTGTTACTCTGCAATCCAGGAATGCAGCTGGTGCCATGTGTTGGTGCCATGTCTGTCCAAACTTCCACAAGAATGCCAGTACTGGGCACGGAGCTCCATTTAGACTACACATGACATGAGGCTCTGACAACTCTTAGAGATGACACAATCTGGGACGGTTCCTCATAGCTGGCCTGGCCAAGTCCACCTCAAGATACCAGCCCATGACACAGAATTTCAAGTCATATTGTTTTATCTTTTCCCTTGCAGTTATACAATATACGACTCTCTTAGAAAAGTGCAATAGTTAAAACTTGTTTTAGTAGATGCTAAATCCCAAACGAGTCTGCTGAAACCTTTTGAGACCTTAAGCACCCTATTCCCCAGTCTTAGAAACTCAGGCTGGTGAATATTAGATTCAAAAGCACCACAGATGAGCCAGTGGGTGTAGAAGCACATGCCTGTAATTCCAGCTACTTGGGAGGCTGAGGCAGTAGGGTTGCTTGAACCCAGGATTATAGGCGTGAGCACCTGACCTATTTATTTATTTTAAAATAGATGCCTGGTACAGTGGCTCATGCCTGTAATCTCAGCACTTTGGGAGGCCAAGGTGGGCAGATCACCTGAGGTGAGGAGTTCAAGACCAGCCTGCCCAATATGATGAAACCCCGTCTCTGCTAAAAATACAAAAATTAGCCAGGTGTGGTGGTGTGCACCTATAATCCCAGCTACTTGGGAGGCTGAGGCAGGAGAACTGCTTGAACAGGGTAAGCAGAGGTTGCAGTGACCCAAGATCATGCCACTGAACTCCAGCTTGGGCTCCAAAGGCTGAGATAGGAGAATCACTTGAACCCAGGAGACGGAGGTTGCAGTGAGCCAAGATCAAGCCATTGCACTCCAGCCTGGGCAACAAGAGTGAAACTCCATCTCCAAAAAAAAAAAAAAATAGAAATGGGTTCTCCCAATGTTGCCCATGTTGGTCTTAAACTCCTGGACTCAAGCAATCCTCCCACCTTGGTCTCTCCCAAAGTGCTGGGATTACAAGCATGAGCCACCACACCTGACCATCATGAATAATTTTAAAGTGAACCACCATATAACCAATACCCAAGTCTAATGGGCATGGTTTTTAAAAGTATATTTAGGCTGGGTGTGGTGGCTCATGCCTGTAATCCCAGCACTTTGGGAGGCCAAGGTGGGTGGATCACCTGAGGTCGGGAGTTCAAGACCAGCCTGACCAACACAGAGAAACTCCATCTCTACTAAAAATACACAAATTAGCCAGGCATGGTGGCATGTGTCTGTAATCCTGGCTACTTGAGAGGCTGAGGCAGGAGAATCACTTAAACCCAGGAGACAGATGTTGTGGTGAGCTGAGATTGCACCATTGCACTCCAGCCTGGGGAACAAGAGCAAAACTTCGTCTCAAAAAAAACCAAAACAAAACAAACCCCATCCCCCAATCACTTTGTACACTTCATTTTTATTTATTTTTTATTTTATTTTTTATTTTTTGAGACGGAGTTTCGCTCTTGTTACCCAGGCTGGAGTGCAATGGTGCGATCTTGGCTCACCGCAACCTCCGCCTCCTGGGCTCAGGCAATTCTCCTGCCTCAGCCTCCTGAGTAGCTGGGATTACAGGCACGAGCCACCATGCCCAGCTAATTTTTTGTATTTTTAGTAGAGACGGGGTTTCACCATGTTGACCAGGATGGTCTCAATCTCTTGACCTCGTGATCCACCCACCTCGGCCTCCCAAAGTGCTGGGATTACAGGCTTGAGCCACTGTGCCCGGCGCTATTTTTTATTTTTTGAGACAGCATCTCACTCTGTTGTCCAGGCTGGAGTACAGAAACACAATCCTGGCTCACTGCAACCTCTGCCTCACAGGTTCAAGCCATTCACCCACCTCAGCCTCCTAAGTAGCTGGGACTACAGGTGCACACTACCACACCTGGTTAATTTTTGTATTTTTTGATAGAGATGGAGTTTTACCAAGTTAGTCAAGCTGGTCTTGAACTCCTGACTTCAAGGGATCCACCTGCCTTAGTCTCCCAAAGTGATGGGATTACAGGCATGAGCTACCATGCCTGGCCCCTGTTGTACACGTTAAATATACTTTTTAAAACCATGTTGGCCAGGCTGGTCTCGAACTCCTGACTTCAAGTGATCCACTCGCCTTGGCCTCCTAAAGTGAAGGGATTACAGGCATGAGCTACCATGGTTGGCCCACACTGTACACTTTAAATATATATATATATTTTTTGAGACTGAGCTTTGCTCTTGTTGCCCAGGCTGGAGTGAAGTGGCGCAATCTCGATTCACTGCAACCTCCACCTCCTGGGTTCAAGCGATTCTCCTGCCTTAGCCTCCCGAGTAGCTGGAATTACAGGCCCACACTACCACACCTGGCTAATTTTTGTATTTTTAGTACAGATGAGGTTTCTCCCTGTTGGTCAGGCTGGTCTTGAACTCTCAACCTCAGGTGATCCGCCCATCTCCACCTCCCAAAGTGCTGGGATTACAGGCATGAGCCACTGCACCTGGCTTGTTTTTGTTTTAAGAGACAGGCTCTGGGCAGGCTGAAGTACAGTGGCGCTATCTTAGCTCATTGTGGCCTCAAACTCCTGGGCTCAAGCCATCCTCCCACTTCAACCTCCTGAGTAGCTGGGACTATAGGCACTTGCCACCGTGCCCAGCTAATTTTTAATTTTTTGTAGAAACTAGGTCTGATGGCTGGGCACAGTGGCTCATGCCTATAATCCCAGCACTTTGGGAGGCCGAGGCGGGTGCATCACAAGGTCAAGAGATCAAGACCATCCTGGTCAACATGGTGAAACCCCATCTTTACTAAAAATACAAAAATTAGCTGGGCATGGTGGCACATGCCTGTAGTCCCAGCTACTCGGGAGGCTGAGGCAGGAGAATTGCTTGAACCCAGGAGGTAGAGGTTGCGGTGAGCCAAGATCACGCCAGCCATTGCACTCCAGCCTGGGTAACAAGAGCGAAACTCCGTCTCAAAAAAAAAAAAAGAAAGAAAGAAAGAAACCGGATCTGCTGACCTTGTGATCCGCCCACTTCAGCCTCCCCAAATGCTGGGATTATAGGCATGAGCCACCGTACCCTGCCCATTCTGGTCACATTCTGCAGAAAAAGAAACTGAAGTGAGGGGCAGAGCAGTTTGCCAAAGTCATAGATCCTGCAAGCCAATGGCAAGGCAGGATCTGAACTTGGGGCTTCAGATCCTGGGGCTTTACCTGATTAAATACCGAGAGAGTGCTGAGATTTTTTTGGTGG